ATTCGAACTCTCACCACCCTCCAGGCCTTCCGCAAAGCCCTTAAAACCTGGCTATTCTGACAGGGCTGGGGCTAAAGAGCTTTTGCCCCCCTCCTCGAATGGTATGGTTGTTGTGTGTTTTTAAATTGTGGCATTGTTTTTGTTCATTTACTTTTTTTTCCTTATTTGTACCCCCCCCACTTGACTTGAGTTGTGAGCCGCCCTGAGTCCCCTTCGGGGAAAAGGGCAGCATAGAAATATAATAAATTCAATTCAATTCAATTCAATTTACTCAATAATACATATTATTACAGTAGCAAGAATGGCCTTTGCCCAAAACTGGAAAAACAGGAAGAGGAAATAATTAGGAAAATTTGATTTGTGCTGAAAAGGATAAATTGATGTGGGAATTGAAGAAAGACGAATCAGAATAGTATAAGATCTGGGATAAATTTTATCGATGGTTGGGACAAATAAAGACCCCAAATAAGCAATGACTAAGATTTATAACATGGAGATTAGAATTCTATATTCAATCATAACAGTGAAAATATACAAGAAAAGAACAAAGTAACATGGAGGGAAATATGATCTCCTTATAGTGCATATTGAGTAGACCAATTGTAAATAAGCATGGTGGTTTATAATATTTAACTTTATATTCTAGTATTTATGGCAAAGACATTGCCAGGATGGTTACACTGTGTCCAGTGTTTTAATGTGTGTTTAATAAAAACTTTCGAATAAAAACAATGTTTCTTAGATGAGAAGCAAAACCTTTTCAAACAAAAAAACTAAGGAAGTCCAGTTGCCTTTTGAAAAAAGCACCTTTGGAACTACATAAACTGAAGCACTGGCAAGCATTAACCCACAGACCCTCTTACACATGTCAAGCGTTGCGACACTGCGGGGTTAGGAAATGAGCATATTTGCAGCTTGTTGTGTCCTGGGATTTGCATCTTAACTGAGCCTACTGTTAAATCAGTGTACAGAGCTGTGCATTTGGTCATTGTTCCCAACCCCTGCATAAGCCTGATTTTCTCGAAATAAAATATAGAAAAGTGCTTTTTGTACCCGATTAAAATCCTTGAAATGGAACTCCTTGTAGATAGCATCTCTGCCTTCCACCTCATTCCATCCTACTGCTCTGAGATTTGGCAGGAGCTGTTCTCTTTCTTCTCCGCTCAGTCGGTGAGCTTTTCCTGCCTAGGAGAAAATGGAGAAAGCCTCTGCAACAAACACCGAGATAAACCCATCTCTAAGCACAAACAATATGTCCTTTCAGACGGATCTAGAGCAGGGATGTCAAACTCGATTTCACTGAGGGCTGCATCAGGGTTGTGTTTGATCTCAGGGTGGGTGTGGCTGGGCTGGGCCTGGCCCTCTGCCAGCAAAAGGAAGTTTGGGGGCCACACACAGCCTGTCTGGGCCCTGTTTTTGGCCATGACGGCCTCCTGCAGCCCTCTCCTAGCAAAAAGAGAGCCCACGATGGCCTCCTGCAGCCCTCTGCCAGCAAAAATGGAGCTCAGGTAGGCCGTATACAGCCCTGCGGGCCCTGTTCTTGGCTGGGATCGACTCTTGTAGCCCTTGCACCCTCTCCCCCGGCTCTGTTTTTGCTGGCAGGAGGCTGTCGCAGCCAAAAATGGAGCTTGGGAGGGCTGCACATAGTCCTCCCGTGGTCCGTTTTTGTTGGCAGAGGCACCATGGGCCGGTCCTTGGCTGTTTCCAGGGCAACCCTGTGGGCCATATCTAAACACCACGCAGGCAGGATCCGGCCTACAGGCCTTGAGTTTGACACCCCTGATCGAGAGCATCAGATCTAGAGGGTTTTTTAAAAAAATTCTTCAGAAATCAATCTCGTAAACAGCTACTTAGAGAAATATAGAGCACTCCAAGACGTTCCATGACTGACTTGGGAAGATGATGGGAGATGTGGTCCAGCACACAGAGAAGGCACAAGTTGGGGAAAAGCTATCCTGCACTGGCTGCACACACTGCCATTAATTTGATGCCAAATATGTCATTCAATACAGGTTTTGACTTGCTACCACAATTGCAACCAGAATTTCGGCTGCTAAGCATGGTGGTTGTTAAAGAGAATCACATCCAATTTTACTACCTTTTTGCTGTTAAGTGAATCACGCAGACAATAGTGAATCCAGCTTCCCCCACTGACTTTACTTGCCAGAAGCCAGCTGGGGAGGTCTCAAGCTGTAATCGCATGACCACAGGATGCTACAGCCATTGTCTGAAGTGGTATAGGGTTTCCTGCCTGAGCAGGGGTTGGACTAGAAGACTTCTAAGGTCCCTTCCAACTCTGTCATTCTATTCTATTTCTGTTCTGTTCTGTTCTGTCCCGTCCTATCCCTATCCCTACCACTATTCCTATTCTATTCATGCTGGTTGTCAACCACCCAAATTTTCTTCATATGATTGCGGAGATGCTCCCAACAGTCACAAGGGCAAGGTTATAAGTCACTCTTTTCCAGTGCTGTTGTAACTTTGAATAGCTGCTTAACAAATGGTTGTAAGTCGAGAACTACCATGTAGAACGTGTAAAGTTGCCATGCAGCAGAAAGAAAGCCGACTAATTTTCATTGCTCAATTCTACCAGCAGAGATAATCTTTATGGCCATGCTAAATTCTTAACTCAGAAACCCATGATTAATACCTATGATAATTTACACTGATAATGTTACATAGTTTGGGAGTTGGCTGCAATGGACTTGGATCTTAAATAAAATGCTTTTTAAAAGCAGAGCGCTCCTCTCGAGAAATGGCTAACTAGAAGACAACCCACATTTACATAAAAGGCAGAAACCAAACCTTAATAAAGCAGCTTTCTTCTTAGTTAATGGTTAAAGGCTGTTGCATCATTAATCCCTGTCCTTTAAAATTCTGTGGATATTGGGAGGAGCACATGGTGACAAATAGGAGCATGACAGCAGTTCTTACTGGTTTCCATATTGCCAGTTGGAAGGACAATTGTGCAATAGGTTTGGACACTCTTTGATGAATGCTAATGCAAAGCAAAGCAAACGAGATCAAAGGGAGAATAATTCGGTCTGGATCTGACACAACATTTTTTAACTTTCTTCCCTGAGGTTTCCCCCTCACACACTAGTTCCCCGACTCTAGGATGTGGTAGTCATCTCCGTTTCAAAGCCGAAGAGCCAGCGCTGTCCGAAGACGTCTCCGTGGTCATGTGGCCGGCATGATTAAAAGTCGAAGGCGCACGGAACGCTGTTACCTTTCCACCAAAGGTGGTTTCTATTTTTCTACTTGCATTTGTACATGCTTTCAAACTGCTAGGCTGGTAGAAGCTGGGACAAGTAATGGGAGCTCACTCTGTTACGTGGCGCTAGAGATCCGAACCGCCAAACTGTCGACTTTTCTGATC